CAAAGTTTGGAAGAATCTGTGTGTTCTGTGGAAGCAGCCAAGGCAAAAAGAGTAGTTACCAAGATGCTGCTGTGGATCTAGGCAACGAATTGGTATTATTACATACATCGCTGGATTTTTCTCTTTGTAGTTGTTACGGCTTTAAACTCTGTTTCTTGAGTTCTTGCAGTTTTATGTTCACCACATGTTTGTGAATATGTTTGTGGGTCTTTTTTTGCAAAATGCATTTCCTCTGTTTTCTATTTTGAAAACGCTTTTAAACATGTGATATTAACTTATTGTTGATGGATTTGTGCTTCTTTGATACCTCAAAAAGATTATTTTTTTCCTTTTTATCATAACCATCTTTTATGTTTTGGAGCCCACAGATTCCGCATGGGAATGTTTGTCTCTAAATTTTTTATAGTACAAATAGAGTATCTTTGGTTTTGATTTCTCTTCTTAGCTCATTTGTCAAACTATCTGTAGTGAGAAAGATGGTTTACTCTGTTTCCTTTACTATTACAGGTTTTAAGGAACATTGATCTAGTCTATGGAGGTGGAAGCATAGGTTTGATGGGTTTGGTTTCACAAGCTGTTCATGATGGTGGTCGCCATGTTATTGGGTAACTCTTCATCTAATCACCATTTAGGTGTCATACTTGCTTACTCAAATATCTTAATAAGTCTCTTTTTCTCATCTTTGTTGTTATTTGACCACAGAGTTATTCCCAAGACACTCATGCCTAGAGAGGTATTCTTGCTTTTAATCCCTAATTCAAACCCTTTTGATCTGAATCATCCTCTTTTTTCATGTTAATCAGTACTTTTCTCTGGTTGCCTTATCTTCATCTCTTTTATTGAAACCAAAAAAAAGAAAGTTTTATTTTGAGAGAAGAATAAGATGAAGAGCTTCTTAACTAAAGTCTTGCAATGAATTTAAAATAAGCCAATTTGTTTACAATGCCATCATTGCTTCTGGTCATAGAACAGTCTAAAGCTGCTTTTTTTTATTTTCCTTTTAATTTAGTTTAAAGTTTCAAGATTGTTAGTTAATATTTTAAATTTGGATGCTCTCTCTTTTGGCAGTTGACCGGTGAAACAGTAGGAGAAGTAAGAGCAGTTGCAGGTATGCATCAAAGAAAAGCAGAGATGGCTAGACACTCTGATGCTTTTATTGCTTTACCAGGTTAGTAGTATTGATTTCTTCAAATCTTGAAATTGTTCAAAGTCCCATCAGTTTTTAATGTTAATTGTGTTTTCTATGTGTAATTCTCTCTTACAAGTTCAGTTACCCAAACAAGTAATGATTATGTAAGATAAAACTGGTCAAGTCTAGTGACTGCATTGTTTAAGAATCTAATGAGCATCATTTTAAATTCTTAAATTGTGGAAAATCAAAGTATTAAAGAAGAATAATGCTGATTAAAAAATAGCACCGAAAAGTGTTCACTCTTTGACTGTTTTTGTTGGCCAAAGAAGATGGAAGAAAAAAATGTTGGTAAAAAACATGTTTTGTTTCTTGGTCAAACTCAAGCTGTAGTGTGAAAGCAACTGTTTCAAGTTTAATAATTAAAAAGAAGATTGGTTTGCTTTGTAATGATTTTTGGGTTTTGTTATGGACAAAATTTTGAATATAATAACTATAGATGCCTTGACCCATCGACATCTCGCACTGAAAATTAGACCAGTCTCTGTTTCTTTTTTTCTCTTTGCCTTTTTACTTGGGAGCTACTTCTCTATTTAGCTTGTGTGTGTGTGTCGTGTAACTGTGACCAAAGTTTTAATGTTTCTTACCTGTTTCATGTTATAAGACAAAAACCTGAAACAGTCTCAGAAAAAAAGCATGTTTTGCCCATCTAAGGAAGTCTTGTTCTTCAATAAGACCTGCTTTTTTTTTGTAATCATGTCCATATGTAAATAGAGTCAGAGGATAAGTCCTCTTGTAAGAAGGACAGTTTCTGCAGATGAAGCATAATCTGGTGAATTCCATATAATAATGTTTACGGATTATAATGTCTTCTGCTTTGAAAAATTGCAGGTGGATATGGAACACTTGAAGAGCTCTTGGAGGTCATAACATGGGCTCAGCTTGGTATACATGACAAACCGGTATAGTCGTATAGACCCATCACTATGATCCTTATAAAGATTGATGGATAACACTAAACCCAAAGTCATTAAAAAACTAATTGTCATTGTTCTTCCTGCAGGTGGGTTTGCTCAATGTTGACGGATACTACAACTCTTTGCTCTCCTTCATTGATAAAGCCGTTGAAGAAGGTTTCATCAGTACGAACGCACGCCAGATCATAATTTCTGCACCTACTGCTAAGGAGCTTGTAAAGAAGTTGGAGGTACGTGACAATTGGCAATTTAGTTGATCCAAAAGATTTTCAAATTGGAAACATATAAACTGTGTTGTTGTTGTTGTTTGCAGGAATATTCGCCTTGCCATGAAAGTGTTGCAACTAAGCTTTGTTGGGAGATAGAGCGGATTGGCTACTCTTCTGAAGACTGATATTTAATCAGGGTTTATCTAAACATATAACTATTTATACTTTATGTCAGGAGGATTTAAGATGGGTCTTACTTATGGAAGGAAACAGATTTTGAAGATCTCTGAACTTTTGATTAGGAAGGGCAAACTAAAAATTTCCACTGAGGGAGGAAATTCTTTTGTGTAAATTACTACTACTTGTCTTTTAACTCTCAAGTGTTCTTGTTTCTAAGAATCACTTTCTTCTGTAACTCAATTAATGAAGTTTAACACCTTTGGCTTTTTAGTTTTCACTCTTATGATTTATATTAAACTTTATATGCAAAAAATATGGAACCAAAATTTGATCATTATATTAAAAAGAGAATCAAGTTTCTTGACTATACAACATCTGACTAAACTAAACTCACTCAAGTAGTTTCAGTCTCATGGTTACAAAACTAAGATTCACAGTAATGCCTTACTCTAATCTCTACGCTCTGTGCCCTAGTACAATCAAATCTATCTGGCTAAAAATAACTAGATTTCATCTTCTTCGTCATTTTCGCCATGATCATAGCAAAACTCTGAAGAACTAGATGAGTTCTCAGCTTCCAGACCCTTTAGCTTTTGGATTGCATCTTGTACATCAAAGAAAAGGGCATCCTTTGCTGCTCTCACTGAATCCTTCTTCTGAATTTCAATAGGTCTTATGTTCTCTTTCCCAGCCAGTCGAGTTGACTCGGCTTTTCTTTTAGCTTCCCTGATATGCAGATGATCAATGTACTTCTCATGCAATGCCTTGTTTTTTACCTGTTTTAGTACTGGAGGGCTAACGAGAGTTGTTGGATCTTTACTTGAACAAGGCACTGGACTTTCAAGGATTTTTGGAAGACTTTGCCCTTTCTCCATTGGAGTTGAGAGAAAATTGCTTGTGGTGTTAGGCTCAAGAACTGAGAAGAGATCAAATCCAAGACCTTGATCCATTTGATTTTGCTTCTCCAGTAAATGCCTGACCACTTTCTTTGAGAGATTGTTTCTGCGCTGTCGTATCTTCGTCTGTGGTGAATTGGGTTTCAGTAGTTTGCTTGCAGATAGTGAAAACTGCGGGATTGTTGATAAGTTTGTGTTCCTGGCTCTTCGAGGCTGAGCTTGACGAGGAGTGATCAGAGCTGAGTTCACTCTATCAAAACATTCCTGGGCAGATTTTCCAGGTACCATCTTAGCAACTTTTTTCCAGAAATTAGGACTCGGCTTCACCGTCAAATAAGCTCCTTGTAAAGCTAACTCCAACTCCTCTGTCCATCCTCCTTTCTCAAGCTTCTTCTTTGTCTTCAATCCATCTTCTTCTTCTTCATCATCTTCTTCTTCATCCTTTCCTTTTCTCTTCACTTCATCAGCTTTTGGCACAACATTTTCTTCCTCATTCGGTTTTGCAATTCTCATCCTTTTCCTCTCACTAAGACAGACACTAACTTCTCCTTCTTCTTCATTATCATCACAACCACTAAACAGCTGCTTAGTCTTAGGACGAAGACGACTTCTACTTCTATCCTTACTTTTCACACCATCCCCACCTTTCCCTTTCTCAGAAGAAATTGATTTCGTACTACATCTACTCAAAACACTATTACCTGATTTTCTCCCAATGGAAGAAGAAGATTGATCCACAGATCCTCCTCCTCCACTTGAAAACCTAGGAGACCGTCTCAGAGAACAAGACGAAACAGTGGCCGAAGATTTCGTGCGAGAAGATGAAGTAGATGCAGTCTTCTTCGTAAAAGGCTTCTCTTTATTAACACCACAACATTCCCTACTCGAAAGCCTAAGAGATCGCCTCAGCGAAGGAAACCCATCCTTGGAAATGTTCAATCCCAGAGATTTCTTCGCGATTGGACTATCCAATGAGTATACTAATCTCTTCGATAGTCCTCGTAGGACTTCCCGACGAGTTTTCTTCGGTGGTTCCGAGCCAAAGACCAGATCTTTCCTGGGTTTTACTTGACTATCTCGATTCTGCATAGAGATAAGCCTCGCTGATCGACGAATGGGTTGCGGCAAGACGACGGTGGATTTTCTTCTCGACATTTCAACGAACTGAAGGAACCAAAATCAGTAACTTGTTAAATCTGATTCTCACGAAATTAGTGAAAATAAAAGATCTGAGAATCAAATTAGGCTAAACAAAAATACCCAGAACAATGATTATCGCAGATCCGTAAAACCCTAGAAAAAGCTTCGATTTTGATTTTGCCTCTCGTAGTCGTCGTCGTCGAGATTCAGCTTCCAACAGTAACTTTGGGTTGTGAAGTAGAAATGGTTCGACTAAACCAAATATTTCCGAATCAAATCAGTAATTGAACCGAGATTTCGATTGTACCGAAAATTATAAACGGGCTCAGCCAATAAAAGACATTAAAACGGGCTTTAACTGTCTATTAAGCCCAAATAATATTAAATTGGGCCGTTTCCATTTGGAAGGACAAGTTCGTAATTTAGCATTGGAACAAAAAAAACCCTAAATTCGACCACTTAATACGTTCCTCTTCTTCAAAAACCCTAGAAAGCTCATTTCGCAGCAGCCCCCTCTTCGTTTGCCACTTTGATCGAGCGAAACTCCAAATCACAGAACCATGCCGCCGAAGTTGGACCCGAGCCAGATCGTCGATGTGTACGTCCGTGTAACCGGAGGAGAAGTCGGAGCCGCCAGTTCTCTAGCTCCAAAGATTGGTCCTCTCGGTCTCGCACCAAAGAAGATCGGAGAAGACATCGCGAAAGAGACGGCCAAGGAATGGAAAGGACTTCGTGTTACCGTGAAGCTGACGGTTCAGAATCGTCAAGCTAAGGTGACCGTGGTTCCATCTGCTGCAGCTCTCGTCATCAAGGCGTTGAAGGAGCCAGAGAGAGACCGCAAAAAGGTGAAGAACATTAAGCATAATGGTAACATCTCTTTCGATGATGTGATTGAGATTGCTAGGATTATGAGGCCTAGATCTATTGCTAAGGAGCTGAGTGGGACTGTGAGGGAGATTCTTGGGACGTGTGTCTCTGTGGGATGCACTGTTGATGGGAAAGACCCGAAGGATCTTCAGCAGGAGATTCAAGAAGGTGAGATTGATATTCCTGAGAACTAAAGGAACAATGGAATTTGAAATGATGTTGTTATCTCTTTCTCCTTTTACCCTATTTTGTTTTTTGTTTGGGAACTTAGCTGCTATGATGTTTCACTTAGAATGACTCAGTTTTGGATTATTATTCTCTGTTTCACAATCCAATCTCAATTTATTGTCTTTTGTGTTGAGGTTTTTAGCTGAAATGCTTTATATTTTGGCTTGTATGTCTGAAGTTTAGAACCTGAAATTGTGCTCAAAAGTTGGGTGCTTGATCTGTATGGGATGTGATTGTTGGAGATAGATTATTATGGTATTTTGCTTTTTGATGGGGATAAGTTTAAACTTTGATGCTACTTTTACTTCATTTTCAAGAGTGGGTTGTTATCATTGGATAAGTCTGTCATGTTTAGGGTTCATTGCATAATCATCCGAAACTATCTACTTCAGTGCTTGGGTTTGATGTGCAGTCTTAGTGTGAATATCTCTCTCTCTTTATTGAAGATTCTTTAGGTTATGAGTTACTTTGTCTAACGTTTTAATAAAGTGACTCTTAATACTAAAAGAAAGGTTTCTGCATGAATTCTCTTCTCATGAGATGGATGATGGCCATTTGATTTCTTACTGTCTTTGCTTTCACACTATTTCCTTACGAATTTTATAAACAAATCTCTCGCAAAAAAAATTATTCTTCAAAAGTCTTCCTTTGTCTATTGAGTAGAGCTTTAGAGTTTTTGTTTTACTTGTTCTTTTTTTCCACCGGCAAAATGATTCTGCCCTCCCAAAATCGGATTCAATCGTCTTACATGTAAATGTAAATCGATGGGATCTTTAACTTAGCTCGCTATATGTTGATTGATTATTATGTAAAACATTATAGCCAATACTCTAAACGTAGTCATCTTTAAATTCAAGTAAACATGATTTTATGATACATATTTGAGTTTCGAAATTAGTTCATTATATTGTGAAAGCAATTCAATCTGATAGGTTGAACTGTTGAACAAAAAAAAACGAAGCAATGTGATAAAGTCCATATTTACAAACACCTCCATCTTGGTGGAGTTTATTTTCTCGGATTTTTCATACCTAATTTGGAGCACTTGCACTTACTGATCATAGCAAAGCACTATCAATCAACTTTCTGTCATACCATGACTCCAACGAGGCCAGGCAACATCCTAAAATAATAACCAAAATGCCATCACCGACTACACACACACTAACAATGTTCTGTTTCCAACCTTAAAGAACATTGAATATCCCTTTTGCATGCGGACCATATCCTCTTCAGCTTTGAAATTTCTAGCGTGATTGACACGAACAGGATTCTATACAGAGAATCAAATTAGGAATCATATTGAAAGGTACTGAACCGGATTGATGCCATCAGTTCAAAGAAGAGCAAGCACATACTTATGAAGAACAAAAGTGAGTCCAGAATTACCAATTTAACATGCGAATATGCGATGCTCATTTCAATGTCTTTTGCAAAAATGTTGAACGGTAAAGGAAGAATTATGTTTTTTTCACCATTAATAAATTGACGATAAAACGATGGTGATTTTAAAGAGATCTTTTGTTGCTAAAAAATTCCAGCGTTATGTTATGTGATGAACAAAAAAAAATGATCACAACCATTTACAACCATTTATTTTTGTTCAACTTGAAACAATATTCGTTCGTCTTTTATAAGATCAGTAGATGATAAAAGGCAACGACAAGCGCCAAGACCTCTTCGTCGAAAATGTCATCGGCATATGAGGTCCGGCCCTCTCTGTGTGCCGGTAATCAATTATTACGTTTATCTGATACTTAGAGCGTTGGGGATGACCGTTACTTCCCTAAAACCTCTTACTAAGAGGCACAAGAGGCGTAAGCTACTTTTTTCACACATTGCATGTCAAACTAATGATAAAAAATTTGGTGATTCTAGAGAGATTTTTTGTTGCTAAAAAGTTTCAGGGTATATGATGGCGATGCTATTATTTGATATACGGGAAAAAAAAATCAAAAATCAAAACTGTTTACAACCATTTATTTTTTGTTCAACTTAAAACAATATCCATTCGAATTTTATAAGATCAATAAATCATACGAATTTCATATAATGTTTGGAAACCACTCGTTCACATGCAAAATGGTCCAACATAAAAATAGAATGCACATTGTGAAAATGGAACGAAAATGATAAGTCAAGAACAAAATCTTCTGTCACATTTAACGACAAAACGATGGTGATAAAAAAAAACTCTAGTGATTTTAACAGATTTTCAAATTGCATAAAATATTAGGGTTAGTTATCCGAGGTTTTTATTTGTTATTGTTGCCAACAATGATAAAACAAATATAGTAGAAGAGGAAATTGCATTAAATGGATCATATGGTGATGGGCGAGCGAGTAGAGCTAATAGCTAATAGCTAAATGACTATAGATTTTTCTTTTGCAAAAACACAAAAGTGATGCTATTTTATAATAGGAGTTTATTTTATTATAAGTAACAAGGTATCTGACGACAAAAAAAGAAAGAAAGTAACAAGGTATCTAAAAAGTAGCATGTTATTTAGAAGTACATATAATACCCCCCTTCAAGGCCTCAACATTGGGGGTTTTTTTTTTTGCAAATAAAAATATATGAATCATACTCATATTTTAGTTAACTTTCACCAAGTAGTTATCTACCTCATACATCCTAAAATGAATTAATTCCTTTAAAAATAAAAATAAATAAAAATAAAACGTATGCAAGAGCAAGACAAATTAGGACGAGAGCTTTTTATCACCTATACGTAACTCAAACAAAAACATTGTAGGTGAGACATCAGTGTACACCGGCCCAAAAAGGCACATTTCTGAACTTGACTGGCCGCTAAATTTGACCTATGAGCACCCCTCAACAAAACAAACGTTGAGAAATTATACTAGTAACTTATTTGGTGTGCAGGATACTATCAAGTAAAAAACTAGTGAACGAAATAGTAATAATGTATATACTTTTAGTAGTATCTTATCCTAAGAAAAATTAAACCTGTTTGCGTTTTAGCTACCATAGTTGAAAAAAAAAAGACAACCGTAATTCATAACTCATATACATTATATCTCATATTTGTACTACATGGTAATTAAAGCTGTAAATTTCTATAGGACTGGAAGAGATTCAAATTTAATCGCCTTCAGTTATAATACAAATTAATAGTAGTTTTGTATGACTTTCAACTTTTACTCATCGGAGATTACAATATAAAATTATATTTGATCCTTTTTTCCCCCACATATAAATTTTTTGATCTATATCCATGTAAGTATATATCTCAAGTGATTATTATCATTTGTATGCATATAAAATTATTAATTGTGAAGACAGATATATAAATCAAGATATGTTTGTCGATCTTGGTATATATACACATCTAGCTGTGTAGTACATTCTGCACTAGTTTAGACTTTCGATTGAGTGACTAAAAAAGGGACAAAAAACAATGCAAAACAACAACGTCATATTATATTTTTAACTCGAGTTGTCTATAGAAGATTTTAGATAAGGTTAATGCTAGTTTTTTTATGAATAGAAAGTGTAAATATATAAATATATATACTATTAAAACAACAGAGCAGAAAATCACATTTCTTAATCTTAGAAAAATAGTCGGCTGACGTGGAATATTCTTCTAATAGTAGCCGACCAACGTAGCCAAAACGATAAGGTTTGCCACATGGCAAAACGATAACCATGGAACTGCATCTCCTGTCTTTGTCATGTTCGTCACATTTTTTATTGGGATTTATTGTTTTGTCAGCAATTTTCAATTTTTCGCAAAGGAGAATGGAAATTTGGAAATGAAGAGAAAATGCAAATGATTGGTAGGGTCAATGTAACGTGGCATTATGTGAGTGGTTGTACAAACAACGGCTATGCTGAGCTGGAATTAATCAGAATGGACGGTGATGATACGTTTGTCGGAGGGATCGGGTCGGTTAGTCACGCGCGCCACCTATTCACGTGTCACCTTTTGCCAACAGAGACCATATGATTTTAACCTCAGTGGAATCTCGACCCACCCCACAAAACTGCACCATTACTTTACACCCTGGTTTCATAGTGATATACCAACGACAATTATGAAAAAGGTTCGTTTAGGTTTCGGTTAGTTCATGTTAGTAATATCAAGTTAAATGCAAATTTAAGTTATATATAAGATATACGAGTCAATCTCCTCCTCTTCTCGTCAATTAGTTTTGAATTGAAAGTTTTGGTAAAATAGTTTATGCTCCAAAATACAAAGTTTTGAGTTCAGATCCGGTTCTAACATCTTCAAGTAGGTTTTCTTTTTTTGACATCTCAAACATGCTTACTAATTAACCTGTTGATAATAGAAAACTAGACCTTGTAGACTACGAAAAAGTTTATAGTTAAGAGAATGTCCATCTATTTTGAAAACAAAGTGTTTCCCTTTGGTGAACAAGAAAAATGTTCTCTATTATATACAATTACACTCGAACATAGTTCTTTTGATACTGAACCAATATTTCTGACCTAGAATTAAACTAACCATGCTTAGTTGGAATGAAGAAACTTAGCCATGCTTCGTTGGAATCAATCAAAGAAAGGTTTGGAGTTTTGTTATGTGTTTTCGGGAATGAAAATGCTGATTGGATAAAAAGTGGACGTAAATTATAATTTTAAAATGCAATGCATAAAAAATTGCGGCTTTTTAAATGTGAAAAAATTGACAGGCTATGGTATTATTATTTTTGCTAAATGAAAGGCTATGGTATATTTTGGTATTATAGGACAAAAAGAAGAGAGCACCATATTGATGATATAGTATATATTGGGTCGGTCCTTAAGAAAATGACATTTGGGTGATGGGGCGGCGAGGCTAAGTTAAAGTAAACATTAAAACCTCCATTATTTACCCGAAAACAAAATAGAAAATTCTGATTGATATAAAAATTAATAAATGATTTCAAAGTTGTGGTTCTGATAGCTCTCCACCATCACCACTGATTGATTACCTCCTATTGCTACGAGAGATAAAACTATACAATTTTATACGAGTGGATATAAAGTCTTGTTTTATGATATCATAAACTAACTAATCCCATATCATTATTAAGTATTTTGATTTGGATCAAAAATTTGTTTGTCATGGACTTGGTTCAAAGTATAACGTAAAATTATTCTAATTTAGGATATAAAAAAAACTCAAATCAAATTTTAAGCAAAATCTACTAACTTATTTGAATATTTCATATTTCAAATTTCAACGATTGAAAAACTCTAAGGTCTGAAATTAAACTAGGTATGTATGATATTGATATACATCAAGCAATCATTAAATAGAAATGGTTCAAATTTGATTTCAGGACAGCTAGCTTATAATCATTTTGTCAAAGCTACTTTCCTCATAATATTCACTCGTATTCTTTTTTTTTTTTTTTTTTTTCGTCTGAATTTTATTATTAAACCAAGAACGGATACAAGTTAAAATTATATATGCCGGCGGACAACAGAAATGTCCCCAGAATCATTAGCCCAAAAGAGGGAAGCAAAGCCGGCGGAACAACTAGATATCCCCGGAGACGAAAGCCCAAACAAGGGAAGCATAGCCCTAAACAACAGGGAAGCAACATAGAAAAAACGAGATAACCAACATAAAAAGCTTATAAAAGAAAAGCTAAGACCAATGCACTACACTTGACCCCCTGTTCCAAAGAGAAACCCACCAAGCTTTCCTATAGAAACTGTAGACGTCGGATAGCATCATGGAGACCGGTAATGAATTACGACCAAAGTCTCCAACCGCAACACCAACAGGCAAGAAAGCAAGCTTGAGATTCGGCTTGAGACAAGTCAAGGAAGATCAATAGCACTTAAACGCGGACACTCGTCGACCCAGATTAAGCCACCTACAGACAAAAAACTGGTAACCTCCTCGCAAGAGAAGAACAGGAGATCGTTCCACTGCGACGCCTAAAACCCAACTTCAAACCACAAAGTAGCCAAAGGGAGGGCTAGTAGATATTCACTCGTATTCATATGGAGTATTTTATTAAAAAAAAAAAATACAAACTCTCATTCCAAAAAAAAAACTTAGCATAAAAAACAAAGAAAAATATAACGTTGGCAAAAATACTAAAAACATTTTTAAAAATATAACAATAAAAAAGTATACACACAAAATTAATTAAAAAGAGGAGCTCTTACTATAAAAACAGAGCACATGTTCTTATCACTAACCACTCAACAGAGAAGCAAAAGAAAAAAAGCTACTGTTTGAAAGAAGAAGATAACTATGGCAAAGGATGTGGAAGCCGTTCCCGGAGAAGGATTTCAGACAAGAGACTATCATGATCCGCCGCCAGCTCCGTTTATCGATGGAGCGGAGCTAAAGAAGTGGTCTTTTTACAGAGCAGTCATCGCCGAGTTTGTAGCCACTCTCCTCTTCTTATACATCACCGTTTTGACTGTCATCGGTTACAAGATTCAGTCCGATACTACGGCCGGCGGCGTAGACTGCGGCGGAGTTGGAATCCTCGGTATCGCTTGGGCCTTTGGTGGTATGATCTTCATCCTCGTCTACTGCACCGCCGGTATCTCTGGTATGAATCTTCTTTAATCTTGATTTTTGTTTGGTTTAGATTAAGATTATGCACTTTATCTTTGGGTTTTAGAAGTACAATTAAACCGAATAAGCTGAATAAGTTTTACTTATGTAAGTACAACTTGCAAACTCAAAATTTAGACAAGTAAAACTTATTTGGTATGGTTTTGTTTTTTGTTTATTCGAAATCAATAACTTTGCAAGGAAAAATATTGTTTGGTTGACATCACAATTTAATCGGTTCAAAATGTTAGGTTCCAAATACGAAAAACGAGTTATATATAAAAACATTTAATAAGGGTCATGATTAAATCGGTTCTTATCCGAATGAAATATCTCTAATCTAAGTCTACTAATTATTTTAAGCAATTGACTAACCCTGTCCTAACCAGAATTGGAAACCGATTAATTAATTGCCTTGTGTGCCTTAAATTCTCAAGTGGTAACATTGTCAACTCTTTTTGTTTCCTTAGGTGGTCACATTAACCCAGCGGTGACATTTGGGCTATTCTTGGCACGTAAAGTATCGTTGCCTAGGGCTATATTGTACATTGTGGCTCAGTGTTTGGGTGCGATTTGTGGAGTTGGATTTGTCAAAGCCTTCCAAAGCTCCTACTACGACCGTTACGGCGGTGGAGCCAACTCTCTTGCCGATGGCTACAGCACAGGGACCGGTCTAGCCGCAGAGATCATTGGTACTTTCGTTCTTGTCTACACCGTCTTCTCTGCCACCGACCCCAAACGTAGTGCCAGAGACTCCCACGTTCCGGTGAGTCACATATATAGTCAGGGGCGGAGGCACACTATTGGTAGAGGGGTCAGCTGACCCCAACTACTTTCTAAAATTCTATCATATATCTTAACATTAGATCTAATGAACCCAATTAAAATCATCTCTTGACCCCATTGATCCAATCAAAAAACTAATTTACATACATGAAAAAGCCAATATTTTTTTAAATTGAATCCATGTTCAAACAAAACCCAAAACAATAATATAACTTTTAATGATTTATATGAATTAATAGAGAAATAACAATAAATTTTTTTTTTGTCTCTTCTTCTTTCTTTCTTTGCCTTTTTTTTAAAAAAATTTTCTTATACTTTTATGATATGATTCGTTTGTTTATAAAATGTATGAATGTAGAATGCAATTGTAGATTTTATTTTTACAGTGTATAAACGATTTTTTTTAATATTTATTTTGACCCCAGTTAAAAATAATCCTGGCTCCGCCACTGTATATAGTGCTATTAATCTTCAATATGATTAACCGAACCAAAAAAATCAATGAGGTTTAACCGAAACCAAAGCGAACCAAACCGAAAACAAATTTGATTATACCTTAACTTTAATGATTTTTTTTTTTTTTAATAGTGAACTAAAACCCTAGTGGAAATTCAGTTTTCATTCGATTTCAATCTTACTAATAAATTTAAATTGATAAAATGAAAGGTGTTGGCGCCACTTCCAATCGGATTCGCCGTGTTCATGGTACATTTGGCCACCATTCCCATCACCGGAACCGGAATTAACCCGGCAAGGAGTTTCGGAGCTGCCGTAATCTTCAACAAGAGCAAGCCATGGGATGACCACGTAAGACCTCATCGTTCCTTCAATATATTCAACTTAATTTTTTATTTTTTATGTTAAAATATAATTATTAGGGAATAATTTTTTAAAATTTTGATGATTACAAACAGTGGATATTTTGGGTTGGACCATTCATTGGAGCTGCGATAGCTGCATTCTACCACCAATTCGTTCTGAGGGCTTCAGGTTCTAAGTCTCTCGGATCTTTCAGAAGTGCTGCCAACGTCTAAACCCACCAAAACCAGATTTCTCAATAATAAATGAAGTTGTAATCTCTGTACAAATCTAAATCAATCCAAATCAATCACTTGCAGTTTTCTTTTCTTTCTTATTTGAGTTTTCTGCTTGCTCTTTTGTGAATTTTCCTTTGGTGTAATTGTTTTTCCTTTCGTTTTTTAATCGAGTGATTGGAACTAAAATCAATGAAATCAAAGAGGTTCTTATTGCCTAGCGTTTACATTAGTAAATCATTAGTACTACTAAAAACTCAGATTTCTTTGTGAATTCTAAATTTAAATGTCAAACGCAAACGAAACCTTTGACTGATCCATATTCTTCTTTTGATACTGCTGGTAATTACAAAATTACAGAGACAATGATATTACTCAAGCTTTGTAGTTTCCAAATTCCAAGTCCAAATTACTTTACTAGATTTTTTTTTTTAAGTGATTAGACTCACATAACCAAAATTAACTCGACATGAAGACAACCTTTGACTTGACACACTAACCGATTCTAACACTCTTTGTGAGAGAACATGCCAAATTATTGTCGCAAACACTACATTGTGGTGTTTTAGAATGTCAAAAAAGAGTTCGTTTGAATGAAAAATTAGAGATCTAGTGGTTAGTTTGGAAAGCTTAAAAGGTTGACAAACGATCAAATTTTGCATTTTAAAGTTAATGGAAAAATCCAAACAAGACATGTGTGCCGAACCGGGTTTGGAGTTTTGAGATTTGGGAAATGGACTTATAATCCAAATGATTATTGTTATTTACCCAAATGCGTAGAACTAGTTAAATAAGTCAACAATTATCCCCTTTAATGTGATTGTAAGTTATGAATTGTGTAACAACAAAATTTAATCCACTACAATTAAGGGTGGTGGAGTCAATGACATTGATGTTGAGAATATATTCTCATAACTATCACATTCTCACCTTTATTGCTTTACATATACGTTGAACCTTGTGCTATATAGCCATGGTCTTTGTCTTCTCCTTTCATAGGATACAAACGAGGAACAACACAATTCTCCACAAATTCTTTTCTCTTATCGAGTCTCAGAGTACATTGCAGCTCTTGAAATAACTGATAATTAAGATCATAACCAAGTTTGAGCCGGAGAAGACTTGGTCAAAGTCTCAATAGGATCATGAGTCATTCTTGTGGTTGATTTAACATGGGCCGATACGCGTGGCCCATTATTTGTATCCTAACCCATTAACACTTAAAAATTGACATCTCTTACTAATAAAAGGAACTAATTGAGGCTTCTAAGAGTGTCCACATCAGCAAAACAAAACTCACCTAAGAGGAAGCCACGTCAACAAACATCTGAAGACGAGATAGAAAATGAATTGAGTTTATGGCCCATTTCAAAGCCTATGAACTAAAACGTCGTGTTACCATGTGACATCTTCAATGAACCACTAATCAGTCTATGATACGTTCAAGAGCAACCAAAACCTTTCTTCTCCCTCTCCTTGAGTTAGTCCGTTTTGAGTCACTTGCACTCCCACGTTCACAGATAAATCATTCCCACATCCTCTTTCACACGTTTAATCGCATCTTCCATTTTTAACTCATATCATTACCTTATTGACTTCTCACTTCTCTGTATTTAACAATCAATCTCCTTTGTAAACTCTAAAACTATGTAACAAATTTACTTGAAATATTTTCTCCCTTTTGATTTTGAAGGCTAACAGTCGGGAATAGTCACGTTAATGGGAGATCTAGATCGATATATCACCACCGTCCACCCGCAAGGCATGAAAAACGACAAGGCTTGCGATCCTCGAAACGCCGCTGCACACAGAACCCTAGCGTTCATCTCCAGTTTATAATTCGTCACGCTTATCGATGACGACTACGGTATTAGAACAATATATTTGCAGGAACAAAAGGACTACGCGAAAGAAGATCTTGCAAGGATTTATTAAGGACGTCAACGGCAGCAAAGATGACTACAGTATCGATCCACTTTCTGAATTGTGTAAGGTTTTCGTATTTGCAACCAAAAGTAATTTCCAAAGACCTTCGTTATTCTTGAAATTCTAGAATTTCATTCTTTTAGTGCAAAATATTGTCAATTAGGGAGATTTTCACAAAGATAAGAGTCGCCATGTGTGGAACTTTACTTTTTCAGATTCTTAAGCATGGGAAATCTGAAGGAGACGAATAATGCTTTTCAAGTCACAAAGATTGTCGAAAAGAAAAGTGACACATACGTGTTCGAATCTTTAATATGATGAGCTAATTATATTTTCACGAAGCTGTAAATGTGAATCATTAGGTCCTACCTACATCATCGATTAACTTGCTAATAATACAAATCAATTGTTTATCAATATAATTGTTTCTTTCAGGATTCAAAAGAAAAGAAGTAGAGGTGGTGCTGAAAGATAAGAGACGGCCAAGTAGAACAACACTGCAAAATTACTACATTTTTATTCATTTAGTTAAGAACAAACTATCAATGATTAGGAAAATAGAGTTTAAAGCATTTGAATTATGCATAATCATTGATGCCAAATCTTTATTTGTTTAACATTTTTGTTCTATTTTTGCATTGTGATGTGTAGTATGTGAGCATTTATGAGTTTTTTTATGCTGGTGGATAAAGAGAACTAAATCACCTAAGTTAGATGATGTTTTGGGAGGGGTTGAGTTTGATGAGTATCTATTGGTAAAGGTGACAAAGGGTCATCAAAGAAACGAAAACATTTTCAGGAGGAGCGAGATGGGTAACAAGATGCAAAATACATTTAACTTGTAGTATATTCACGGTGAATTAAAGCTCATGTAAAATGGACGAGGCAATAACCTTCTAATTCCTATCAACATAGTACAAAGTACAAACACAAAAAAAATAACCCGCGCTAGAACTTAGCATTACGAAATTATTATGATTATTTGACATAGAAAACCATCTCAATAGTGTTTAGCTAAATTATTATTATATGGACTAATATGATAGTAATCTAATCTTAGAAACCATAAAATAATTAATATATAAGATAAAATTAAAATATATAGAACTACGGAATAATATGATTAGAGACAAATGGAAAATAAATTACGGGAGATAAATGAAAATACTATATACACTAATTTTTAGTTTCTTCTACTTAATTTTGTAAATGAAAATTAATGTGGAAATGATAAATATGTAAAACTAAACAATTAATAGTATCACATGATTTTTCGCATTTTCACTAAAGAAACTAAATCTATATATAACAATATTTGAGAAGTGTTTTTGCTGACGTGTCGGACTCTCGGCTCTTGTTGAGTCCTTGATTTTACGTAATTACTTAATTACCCTTAATGAAATCTAATTAATTTTGGAAAAATTAAATTGAATTTCGGAATTAAACAGGAAAAAATAATTTTGGAAACAATAAACATGATAATTAACCATGTTATGTCTTTAAGACGTCAATACTATCATGCACCCTATAATTCTAACCAATGAAAAGAACAAATATTTATTACCTTGGATACAGAGTTGACGAAGAAACCTTGGACAAAAACTCGACGAAGAAACTTGTAAGTGTTAATGTATGATGAAGCTTCCATGAACGTGAATTCGTGATCATAATGAAGAAACGTGTGAATGGAGACGGTTGATGGGTTTTTTTTTTTTTTTTTTTTTTTTTTCTTTTTTACCTTTTGTGTAAACAGATCTGTTTCATAATTTATCGGAAAAGGAATTATACCAAAAAAAAAAATCGGAAAAGGAAAATATTTATTATAATATTGATATATTTAAGATGATAATGTCAAATATCCGAAAATTATTAATCGGAGCATTAATATAAACAGAAAAGAATACTATTCTAACCTTACTCAAATTAATAAGATTTAGATATCCGAAATTAATCGTAAACGGCTATTAATTGTTAAACTAATTAAAATAAAGATCAAACGTACCGGAATAGATGAAATTTTTGGTATGATCGTCGTGTTCGTCGTCGTTTCAATCTAAATATTTGGAAAAAAAACGAACAAAAAAATAATATGTAGATCAATGAAAGAGAACCCACCAATTTAGAAACGGTTATCACGCCATCGTATTGTTCGTCGGATGATTATAAGTCTCTAATCCGGAGATTGACTTGAACCCTGACAAAAACATATATTCATAGCATAAAATCGTAAATAGAAGGTAGAAGACCTCCTATTAATCGGTTGTAACCTTGTGCAAACTCGATTTAATTTTGACGAATGAAATGTTGGTGTGGTGTCAAAACTTTCTTGGGGAGACTCAAAGATGAGAGAGCTGAAGTCAGAGATAGGCAAAGAGGTTTACATGTGAATTAAGGTATGGAGTGCTAACGTGAACATGAACGTGAACGGCGGTGATTTTTGCACATAATAGCAATTAGATCGAGTTTTGGAAAAAAATATGGATCAGCGTGACATGACGCATATGGATGCCATGCATGTCTATCTATTGTAAATCAAAAATTATATTATTGTTCCGCCTTATTTTTGAAACAGAAAGGAATTTTCCCTTAAATTTTAATATATTTTATAAGATAGTATCAGATATAGTAGTAAATCTAAAATAGTTGTTATTATTCCATATTTTTACGGAAAAAAGTAAATATTATTTTAAATAAACATGGATAACAATGAATAAATGGCAGTTTTACAAATATTTATTATTATGATAGTGATTTGCTTATTAAAATATGTAAATTTTCTTTTCTTTTTTTGTATTTATCGTCGAAAAATTTAGAAACCCTAAATCATGCACCGCCTCCTATTCAATATAAATACCTTGCTCATGGTATTCAATTTCAGATCATAAATAACCCTTGTTTTTTTTGTTCTTTTTTTTCAAACTTTTTTTTGCTTCTACCTAATTTTAATTTTTCTTTTTATTGTAGGGTGGATGTATGGAGGGGACGATGTCAACTGGTGTATGGAAAATTTTAACCTAATTCAATGAATAAACAGGTGATCTTATAGTTTATATGTACAAATTTGATTTTTTTTTTTTTTGTATTTATGGTTTCACTATTTTCACCACTAATCAATTTTTATAATCAAAAAGTTTGGTTTCAACTTTTGAGAAGGTAATCATCGATGGTTTGGTATGTTTCTTTTTGTTGTAAAAAGATGAGGTACCTCCCGATTTTGTTGAGGTACATGTTCTTATTATTTTCAAATATGTCTTTTTTCAGAAGAAACACTCAACTTTTGATAACACAGTTGCC